AATTTGCGCGGGTGCAATTAGTCTTGCGATACTCGGTTGTACGAACGGTTGAAAAATGTACTACGCTGAAGACAGCAATGCATTGTACGAAATGAAGAAGAACTGCAGTAACATGTAAGTTTTAACATTCCATATGCAAAAGAAACGTTTTTTAAACATTATGGATATATATACACAGCATGGAGCATCGCAAGATGCGTTTATCCTCTGAGGGTGGCGCGGGGCGCGGGGGGGTACTCGGCCGCGCGGGGAGTACTGGTAGGCGCGGGGAAGGGGCGCGGAAAGTCTCGGCGCTATCAGTGTTTACTGATATGATGATATGTATCGCTATGTTGTGGTGTCACGTATTATTGGGACCACAGCGATACATATCATCATATCAGTAAACACTGATAACGCCGGGACTTTCCGCGCCCCTTCCCCGCGCCTACCAGTACTCCCCGCGCCACCGAGTACCCCCCGCGCCCCATGCTCCCCTCAGAGGACCTGAGTTAGAACCCGCCTAGTATTCCTACTGATCTCAAATATCATTGAATAAATAGCATATCTATTTAATAAAATCGCGTACGGAAGAAGAATAGTGAACGTGACTGAAAATACAATAGAAAGAAGAGAGAGCACAAAGGACTTACTATGTAAGTATAGGCCGCAACGGGAATAGAGAAAACTGCATCTTACATCGAGTGGAAAAGAGGATAATGAGTTAGAAAGAGAAAAGGAACAAACTCCCTTTCCCCTTCTAATACGGCGACGCGCTTCTCCTCTTTCAGACCCAGCGGCTGTGTGCATTTCCCCTTCCCTGACCTTTCACACACATCTATACATACCGCATATGCGTATACGCACTAACATATAGTTGGTTAGCATTCGCCTAGCCATATTACTTTTGTCTAGCTTTAACACAGCGTTAAGGTTAGACAGAGATACTAATCGAGATATATTATATTTCTCTCTCTGTTATCGATTTTGTTAACACTACTACCTTATATACAAACGTCGGCTCCACTCGTCTCGAGTCGCGACTCTCTAGAGAGGATTTCTAACCAAAATGAAGCGAAGTTAGGTAACAATTAATTTCAATATCTTTAGTGAACATATATTCTCATTTTTAGAGAATATACTGACAAATATATTTCATATAGATATATTTTTCATTTTTTATATAAAAACTATAATAAAAACAAATTACGTATTTTATTGTATATTTTTATGATTAAAATACAATAATTATTTTATTTATTAATACCATTATCATCATTATTTTTCAAAATATTAAATTGATATTAAAATAATACAATATAATAAGGTAGAGAGTGCCTATAGATCGGTCAAAGTTGGAAGTTACGAATAATATTGTATAATATTCTAAGTTCATGAATTTAATTAATCTCAAATATTGGACAATCGCGAGTATATATAAATCCATCTCTTTAATCAAATAAGAAACTTTTATTGCGAAAAATATTACTTCAGCCAGGATTCGAACCTGGGACCTCTCGACTTTTCGGGGAGAGTGTCTTAGCCAGGTTCGGCTACTGAGGCTTCGGAAATATTCTTCGCAATAATTGTATAGTGAAAGAACGTGCAACCAGGCGATTTTTTAAAGTCGTTTTAAAATATTTTAACTGCAAAAAATGATTTTGTTGCTATGTGTACGATGGTGCAACTCTTGAAGAAGAAAATTCACTCCTGTAAATTGCTATGCGACTGCTCAAAGATGAAGTAATTCAATTCAATTTCAAAGTAATTAAATTTTCCGCAAGTTTTTAGTCAACAAATGTCTTTTTGCAAAAACTAATGAACATTTCAGGCTCATTCAAAACTAGATTTGTTCGTCATATGAGAGCTACATTTTATGAGAATTTCATAGCTTTGCGTTTAAATGAACAGAGTCTCAATGAACAGAGAGCGAATGAAGAAAAGGCCTTTTTTGGTGGTTTTTATTTTCTTTCTACTCAACTTATAGATCGATTTTAATGTTCCACGTTTCATTTTGTAGGTATTTCGAATAACTACATTTTTTCGAATTTTTTTCCATACAATCAATATCTTTCGTTTCATAAGCGAAAAACATACTTTTTGCAACTATTCGATTTTTTTTCGCATATTTCCTTCACAAGTCTCGAGTCTCAAACATACGCATTTCTTTTCTGATTGCCTTCCGAAGATTTTCGTGAAGAAAAATACTGGTTTATAATTTTTTTCCGGTAAAATTCTACTTCTATTAAACTATTCTTGCTCGAGTTTATGAAGGAGATATATATTGCATCGAAAAATCGTCAAAAAACAATCAAATATCTCGTAAACTTTTACGTCATAACATGATTTATACTATTCTGAATTAATAGGAAAGGTACATTATTACTACTATTTATTAAAACTTATATGTTATTTAGAATATCCCTCGCCCCTTATTGATGCCGAACGGTTGAGATTGTCGAGAAAGCATTTTCGATCGCTTGAAACAAGTGATTAGAGCGAGAAGAACGGCTCGCTGTCTCGTTCACTCTTGGCGCGCCGAAGGCGAGCGTATGGGCTCGTGCTTGAGTGTGTGGCTACCAGTTTCGCCAGACCGCCGTCTAATTCTGTATCGCCACCGTTAACGCAGAGTTCTTAGCTGACTACTCAGGAGCATTAAGATTTTATATCATAATCAAATAAATTTAATAATCTGACCTATCGTGAATTTATATACAACGAATTATAGCTTAAATTACATGATGTTTGAAATTTATATTCGTATTCTTTGTACTCTGTTAATTTAACTATTTTATTAATTGACATATTGAAAATGGCTAGATGGAATTGTGATCGAAACATTTGTGATCTTTATATAATTAACATAAATATTTGACATGTATGAATTAAAAACATTCATTAAAAACATCTTGCGTTGACTGTACCCTCCTTTTATTTATAATTTACTTGATGTATAAAAAGAGAGCAACCATCTATGACCTTGACTTTGATATATGTTGTCAAGATCATTCGTTAAAAGATTATTAACAGACAATATTAATAATTATTTCCCTGTTTTACATAAAAATTCAAATAACTCAAGGCAGGAAGAGAGGTATGTGGTGAACCGATTAAGGGACGATCGCGAAATGAGTTCCGTCCCACTGTCTCTGCTTAGAGGCGCACTTCCTACGCGAGGTCAATCTCACAATCAGATAAGAGTTGGATTAAATTAGTATGAAATCGGGGTAGGGATACAGGGGGAGGAGTAGAGCCCTTCCTCGTTCTTACGTGTTCCTTCTACACAAAATTATTTAGAATAGAATAATTGTTGATCTTGTTCTTTCGCTCTGGAAATAAAGAAGAGAAGAACAAGACAAGAGGAAAAAAAGAAATCCATCTCACTTTCCCGCTCTGCCAAGAGACGCAGGACTTTCCATGCAAAATGAGTTCTACTCATCTCCCTTCTTGTTAAAGTGAGAGCCTTCTGCCTAGGGGCATACAATTTTTTATACAAAGCGAGATCCATTTCCCCCTCTTATGAAGTTCGATTTAAACTCATCACACTTTCTCTAATTTGATTCCTCTAGACAGAGGAGAGATGAAGTGAATCTCGCTTTACGTGGAAAGTCGGACGCCATTTGGCAGGGGGAAAGATGAGGTTGATCTCGCTTCGCGTGGAAAATTATAAAATATACAATTTTAAAACAGAAAGTTCCTGTTTTATATACACTCGTTATTACATTTAATAAAATTATAGCATAAATAAATTTATATCAAAATTTCGCATAAATTCAAATAAGTAACTCCGCAGACAATGGTCGCATTTAGAAATTTTTTTTCATTTTCAAAAGTAAAGTCTGTACTTTACGAAGCTTTCAATGGATTTTGAATTCTTACCCTTACCTGACATTTTGTCAAAAATAAGGACGCATTTTTTTTAAAGAAATTTACATAGTTTGATGTAATCTACAGGGTGGAGTAACCTTTTTTCGTAAATGTCATAATAACCATCGTAGAGTATGGACGTTTCTTCTACAAATTAAAAAAATTAAGCTTTGTACAATTTTTTTTAAGAAATACAGTGTATCAAACTTACCTATGCATTTTATGCAATTATATAGTCAGCATTAGCATTATGCCCGATGCGCATCACAGGGAGGTTGCTGTTCAGTTTTGCAAATCTTTCATCTTGTCTTCAGATGACCTCTTTTAAACGTGCACGCACATTGTTACAAGTTCTAATTGGAGCCTGAGGAATTTTCCAGCATATTCGATGCAATGCTGTTTCCAGTTGCTGCAAATTTGTTGGCAGTTTCTGTAATCTTCGTAGCCTTCTTTCCATTATATTCCGTACATATTCAATGAGATTCAAATCCGCGCTCATTGATGAATGTGATAACATCTGAATGTTGTTTTCTTTTAAGAAAGTTAATTGGAATTCTGGCGGTATGTGAGTGAACGTTGTCCTATATCAGAATAAAACATTGAGATGCTACCACATCCTCCAATAAGCGCGGATTTGAATCCCATTAAACATGTATGGCGGGCGTCGGTGATTTGACGTTTTGTGCGTTTCGACTCGTTGACTTACCATTCCGAGTTCGAGTTTTACCAGCGCCCCATATAAGGTCGGCTTCACGATAAGGCACGAGGCTATCTAATTACTTGATTGCCTTAAGATCATGGATAAGCCAATATATTTTTTAGTCTTCGTAGGGAAGAGGCTGAAGTTGAAAGCTTGACACTCTGCCTCGGGGCTAGGCCCGGTTGAGCGATTCCTATGGAGCGTCCCCGGAGAGTAGCGCCTTGGCGGCTCCCGAAGAGCTAATCAGTGTCGCGTGTAGGCGACGCAAACTGGGAGCAGCCTAGGCTACGAAAATCCGATGATCAAGATTGGTACCAAGTTTGGATACGCAGAGACTGCCCACGCCCAATTATGGGTAGGTTCGCGGGGGTAGTGGTTGATAGCTAGATGTTGGCTAGGGGCCTCTGGCCCCGATGGGTGAGTTGCGTTACCATGCTCGGGAACCAGCCTGCATAGCTGGTAGAGCGTGAATAGTCGTTCGCTCCAACCAGTGAATTGCTTGTTGGGAACCATCCCGCGAGCGCACTGGGAGTCTCGGCCATGACGCGCTGATTGAACGTATTACAATCCCATGCTCATGAGGACCGTGTGAATTGAGCTTATCGCACGTCTTCTCTCTTCTAAACATATATGGGATATGATGGGAAAAAGATTATGAAGATTAGAGAAATCAGCAACAAATCTGCAGTAATTGGAAGCAGTGAATGTGATGAGAAATTCCTCAGGCTTCAATTAGAGCTTGCGTCAAAATGCATACACGTTTACAAAAGATCATCCGAAAACGAGGCGGAACATTCGCAAAATCTAACAACCTCCCCGTAATACGCATCGGGTAATGCTAATGCTGGTTAATTGAATTAAATGCATAAGTAAGTTTGATACATTGTATCTCTTCGAAAGAAATCATATAAATTTTTTTTAATTTATAAAAGAAACATCTATACTCTATCTCGATGGTTATCATAACATCTACAAAAAAAAATTATTCCACATGTAGATTGCGTCAAACTATCAAAATTTCTATTAAAAAAAAACATGTCCTTATTTTCTAAAAGATGTTAGGTGGGAGTAAGGTAGATTCAAAATCCATAGAAAAATTTGTAAAGTCGAAAGACTTCACCTTTAAAAATTAAAAAAGAAATTTTTAAATGGGATCATTTTTCGCGAAGTTACGCTTATTTGAGTTTATGTGAAATTTTAATATAAATTTACCTATGTTATAATCTTGTTGACGAGTGTAATAGAAAAAAGACATCATTTTTCAAACATTCTGTTAATAATTTTTTAACGAAGGACAAACGCCAGTTAAAACTTGTTACTCAGAGTATACAACATATGTCAAAGTCAAGGTCATTGGCGATTACTCCCCCTTTATGCAAACCACTTACCATTTATTTTATCTTCATTTATATATCCACAATTTCATAATTATTTTATTAGGTGATTGCCGCAGAAGGTGAACAGAAAGCCAGTAGGGCTCTGCGGGAAGCATCAGAAGTTATCGGCGATTCACCAGCTGCTTTGCAACTCCGTTATTTGCAGGTAACATAAATATTACGTGCCGTCTACTTGGCACTATAAATGCTTTAAAGTACTTCATTACAGTGTAATCAGAAGAAAGAATTTTACTAATGATCAATGAAAGAATGCTTTGATATCATCAAGTGAATTACAGGGATGTTTCACAATCGAAGGGACTATCCAGAACTGATTTGATTCTCCATGATATATGTTGTTAAACACAAAAATCTAAGAGACAAGTTTTTTTTATACATGCGCTAACTCATATTTAAGGGATGAAATATTCCTTTAAAAAAAAACAGTATTTTTTTTCAAGCTAAATGTCATCGAAAGTATTATACAAAAGATGGAAAACAATTTTTTAAACAAAAATTGTTGGTTTTAAAAAAAACTTTAAAGTTGCAAAGAAAAAAATTTTTTAATTTTTTTTTAAAAGATGCTCTCATCATCCTCAGTTTTTTCAAATTTTTCAACTTTTTTTTACCAAATTAAAGATTATTTTTTTCCAAATTCAATATATAATAAAGTTATATTATAACATATCATTTTCGAGAATTAATCATGAACGCTTCCATATACACGCTATTTGTATTCATGTGCGTAAGTAATTATCGAAACAATAGGATAATAATTTCTAAATGTATTATACTTAATAATAAAATAATTTTTAAATGTTTATACAATAATAATAATCGATTAAATTAACTTAAAATTTGTTAAAGACTCTTTATATTAATAAAAATAATAAAAAATAAATATATATAAAACATGAAAGCTATAGGAACTGGTTATAAATCTACGCTGATTATAAATAAGATATCATTAATATAAAACAATAAGAATACACAACAACAAGAAGGAACGTTACAACTCATCTTTGAGTTATCTTCAGCTTGATACTTCTTAATTCTAACGCCGTTAATTTTTATTATTACGTCGCATCTCAATATCTAATTTCTCTGTATGTGATCGTCATGGAGCAGACGTGAGACATCGAGTCGTATTCCACTTGACTTGTTGTCCAACATCAGAGAGTTTATAAAAAATATAATAAATTTATATTTGTATCATTTATTCATTTACTCATTATATTCATTACAGTAATGATACTCGAAGAAATGTTTTAAACATAACTTCTTGCACCACGACCATTTTACTATAGCTATATTATTGCAACTTTCGATATCACATGTTGAAGTTTTATCAAAATTAAATTCTACTAGATTTTCAAATCCTTCTTATCTTTCGTTTGTTTAACCACTTTTAAACCACAAATATTTAAATAAGTTATGATATCATATGATGACAATCGATTAAGTCTCAAAGATTGTAATTTTATTATTTCGTTCATGCAAAATTACTTTTCAATTGCAAAATAATATTTTAAAATCTTTCAGCAGAATTTTTCCAAATTCTTAATCCATAAACATCTAATGATCATATTTTCGCTGTAGTACCTTTCGATATAATTATTGTAGTAATATTTTTCTGCTGATATTGAATCTGAAATGATATTAGGACAATGTCCAGTCCATAAATCGATAAAAAGAACGCTATTAAAAGCAATGTTTAGAAAATAAACTTCTTCTAATCACATTTTTAAATGATTTATGAGAAATATGAATGTTAAGAAATGTAAATCAAGAACTTTTTTACAACTGTTATTAAATTCTTAAATAAAGTATAAAATATATTATAGGAATGAGACACCAGAGATTATAATTTCATTATACTATTTCATTTATGCAAATTTATATTTATTGTTTAATAGTAAAATGCAATCTGAAAATTTATTGTGAAAGGAAAATTATCTGAAGCCAATTTTACCAGATTTTGATGCTTTTACAATAATATATATTTATTGGTGTAAACACACATACATAAGGTTCTTTGTACTCTTGGTCCAAATATACAATTAGCTTCTTTTAATACAATAAATGAAGATATTAGCAAATTTCTATTACACAATATTATTGGTTGTACTGTGTATGAATGGGTTGTTGATGATGAAGGATGCAATCCATTTAAAGTTGCAAATGCTTTATTCCAATCAGAAGACATAATTTTACAAATTGAGCAATCAAAGAATGCTTCAAAGCATTTGCAGCGTGAAGTAGATTACATAGATTGCACGACACGATCTGCTTTCTTTACTCCTTGATAAGACAATGATCTTTCAAAATAAATTTTTAATGGAAACCACTTTGATCAAAATTAAAAACATTTTCAATTCAAATTATTCAATAAGTGATTTCATCGTTTTCAGAAAATTATCAGCTCTTTGTTTTTGCAAATAATGAAATCTTCTGTTGTTTTTTTAGTTACAAATTTCATAATTTTTCTCGAAATAAAACTCCTTAAATCTTGATACCCAATTGTGAGATGCTTTAAATATAGAATTTAAATTTCATATTTCTTCTTGAATTTGTAAAGCTCACCTTTAAATCGATATGATCATTCATGAACTATGAATCCTGATTCAACAGCTGCAGTAAATTTATCATGTGTAAATTTGGAGATGTAAAATAATTTTTCTATACGATTTTCACCTAAATGTAATTGTTTTTCCCATCTTAATTAACGTTCAGATGAAACTCTTCTAAATTTATTTTGTACTGATTTTAGCGGACGATTCTTTTTATTCTTATTTTTTTCATTAACGTCCCAATTTCGCCAATATTCAACAGCTTGTCTTTTATAAGAACTATCAAAGACTGCGTCATCATTTAAACATTGAGGATAAGAATTTAAATTATCTTCACTCCATGCCTCTTTATCATCTTCAATTATTTCAAAATTATGTAACTTAAAAGATTCTTGATAATCGAAATAGGTTTCTTCTGTTATTTTCAACTTATTATAATGAAAAATGCTATCAAGCAATAATTTTTCTATGTTTTCTTTTAATTCTATATCTGCTTCAATTATTGATGTTTAGACCATTGTACATAAAAGTAGTTTTAGTCATAACCGTAAGACTATAAAAATTATATTGATAAATTGATTGACAACGAGACAACGAGTCACGTGACTGTCCTCTCGTTGATTGGTTATAAGAATAAGGCATTAATCGCATTTTTCGACGAGATAAAAACTTGTAACTATGATCACGACTTTGAGGTTATGACATTTCACTCATGTTGTTTCTGCGCAAAGAACGCGACAACGCTTGGCCCTGATGCAGTAGCCAATCAATTTATTGTTTTTTTACGATCTTATGATTACGATTACGACTTTTATGTGTAATGGCCTTTTCTGACAGATATATTGAATTTACAGACGCTAATAAAAGTTTAAACAACATTAAGCGAATTGATAATCATTTTCAAAAATGTTAAACTTTGCTTTGTATTGTAATATAAAAATAGTTTAACAAATTGTACAGATATGATTATAACAAAACAACTACACTGATCGAACGTAAGACTGAATATACTTATACTATCCATTTATTAGGAGTGTAATTTAGTTTTGAAGGTTTTGCAAGAGATGACACTAATGTCAATATTATCGAAGACATTCCGATTGCAGCTATTGCTTCTTAATCCTTTACTATTACTCCACTGATATTTAGTCATTTACTAAGACGCATTAAACATTGTGTTTAAGCCATTTTAAAAATAAAGTTTTCTAAAGAGCATTTTCGACATGCGATGTTTTTGTTTTTTAATCAGAAAAAAAACGACGGTTGAAAATCATAGAATTCTGATAGAAACTTATGGTAATGTTGCTCCATTAATAAAAACATGTGAATATTGGTTTAGACGATTTAAATGTGGTGATTTCAGTGTTGGCAACAAAGCTCTCTCGGGACAATCAAAAAAGATGAAAAATACAGATTTGCAAGCATTATTCAATGAAAATCCAGCACAATTCATTTCAGAACTTGCGAAAGAATTAAATGTTAATCGTACAACAGTTATTAAACATTTACATGATATGGCAAAGATTCATAAAGAAGGAAAAGGGTTCCACATCAATTATTATAAAATGCCGAAATTGAAATTACAAACCGATTAAACATTTGCAATTCGCTAAACAAAAAAAGAATTTTTTGTATCGAATTGTTACTGGGGATAAAAAATGGATATATTTTGATAATCCCAAACGAAAAAAATCATGTGTTGATTCAGCAACTAACTAGCAACATTCACTTCGAGGCGCAATATTCACAGTTATTCAAAGATATTGCTGTGTATATGATAGGATCATGAAGGTGTTGTGCACTACGAACTGTTAAATTCGAAAGAAACTGTCACCGCTGATCGTTATGGACAACAATTATATGCAAATTGAAGCAAGCATTATCAAAAAAAATGATTAAAAATGATTTCCAATTACGAGTAAACAACGCAAAATGTCTTCACGGCAACTCAACTTCATGTTGCAATATATTGTATATCAATGAAGTAAACGCTATTAGAACTGAAAAGTTTTATCGCACTCCGCGTATTCTCCAAATATTGCTCCATATGATTTTCATTTGTTCCGGTCAATGCTCTAGAGGATACACACTTTCATAATTTCGAAGATGTACGAAAATTTTGAAAATTGGATCATAACTCCAAAGAAGAATTTTTTTATCGTGATATCCATTTTTTGCTAGAAAGATAGGAAAAAGTTATACAAAATGAAGGAAAATATTTTGATTAAGGTCAATCTTTACTTTGTTTAAATACTTAACAGAAATTTTGGAACACTTTCAAACATGCTCAAAATTACCCAATATTCAGAACGCCGTAACTCGGTGAAAAATTATCGCAGATAAAAAATCAAAAAAAGCATTTGAAAGCTTAAAATCTCTTTTGAAATCTCTGTAATGAATCATTCAGCTTAAAATATCAATTATTGATTTCAAAAATAGAGATTTCATCTAGGGCTGGTGATTTGTTTTGAAAGCTTCGACATTCAAACTTCGATGTTTCGAAGGTTTTGAGCTTCGAATCTTTGATACTTCAAACTTCGATACTTCAAACTTCGAAGCATCAAACAATCAAATTTATATCATTATTAATTCAATA